AACAACAACAACAACAACAACAACAACAACAACAACAACAACAACAACAACAACAACAACAACATTGAGACTTTTGCACACATGGTCATGGAGGAGACAGGTCCCAGAGGAGGGAACCTCCTCCAGATCCTCCTGGAGGATCTCAAAGTGTCCCCCCAGACCTAAGAGGACCCTGAAGCCTCAGCTGACTCCTTCAGATGAGGAGGAGCAGGTCTGCTCAGCCGGACCAGGATCTGGTTCTTCAAGACTTTACAGTCCTGGTCCACACCTCGTGGCCCCAGGTGAAGGCAGGAGAGCAGACGGACCATTAAACCAGCAGGTGAACCTCTCAGTTAGAAGATACCTGCAGAAGCAGCTAAAACAACCTGAACACGCCCTGTCAGCATAACAGCTTGAAACGAACAAAAAACAGACCAAGTTGTTGTGAACCAACAGAAACACTGAGGCCAAAGCCATCCAGATCAAAGCTGCGGCTCCAGTTTGACATGAAGTCCTCAGCTTCACCAAGTCACGGCGCTGAAAACAAACCCTGAACGCATCACCAGCTCGCGCTCACGAGCTGCGCTAGCATCAATAATATCAGCTGAAACTCGGCTAATAACCGTTTTAAATGCAACATATCACTCACGGACGTCAGGTAGCAGACAGCACTGCGGATAATCAAAGCAGAAGCTAGCTGACAGCCGCAGAGGACGGCCAGGTTAGCGAGCTCAACTACATCACCGACACTTCCGGGATTAGCATGGCGGCTAACGGACCCAAAACAATCCGACAAAAAAGATCAAAACGTACCGGAAAGTCAGTCTCTACTGGGGCATGTCCGAACGGCGGAGGCCCTTCTGACAACCAGCTCCTCCTGCGACAAGTAGAAACAAAAATTATCCCGATTCTGCGCCGCTTTAGCTCGTTTCTTCGCCCTGTTCGGTCAGCTGATCAAACGGAAGCCGACATTCACTTCCGGTCTAACAAAATAAAACGTAAACACATTCCATACAAAACAAAGTTTCATTAAATGTTGAATTAAATAAAATACTCACAAAATATCCAAGTTTACGCAAAATGTTTGTTTTTACGAATAAACATGGAGCATGCTTTCTTGATTTTAAAGCATTTACAAAGTAGATTTGATTACTACTGTAAACAAATAAACAAATTGCTGTCATCAATAAATACCTGGGGTTTACACTTGATAAGGAGCTCTTTAAAAACACAGTTTGGTACAAAATCTGAGGGTGAAACTCGGGTTTTATTATAGTAATATTTCCTGTTTTTCCATGCAAGCTAGAAAAAGCAACCTTCTTACTTTAAAGTGATGTTTTGTACATGAATGCTTTGACCAAGTGTCTCCAACCATCGAACGCTGCTACCACTGTGCTCTGAGGTTTGCAACAGGCTGCAGGCGCCGTGCACGGAGTAACGTGAAGCTGAAGGGACAACTCGGATGTCTTTGATTTTAGGGCCAGGCTCCATCTTTCCCAAACTCGCTCTTAAAAGAACTAACAGTTGCCACAACCTTCACGACAGCTTCTTCCTGGTGCTTGTTCCTCGTGTTGGGACAGAAAAAGTAGAACAAACGTTCATGGAACCACCTGCAGTCTGAACTCTGAGTTCATTCCAGACATTTCCTAATAGGATGAACTCATCAATCAGCGTCAGGGTTTTAAATTTTGTAACTTTTCTCACAGTTTTTGCCTTTTATGATTGTTTAAAATTGTTCAGATGTTTGTCTTTTTATTTTTTGTGACTCCTGTAACTATTTTATTACTTTTAGCCCAGGTCCCTCTTGGAAATGAGATGAACTCTTTTGCTTGAGGGTTTTAAATCAAATTATTAATCAGGAGGTTTTTATGAATTATGCAGCACCTTTTTATACGTTGGCACAGTTTTGAGTAAAATAAAAGAAAAACATGTTTGTTGTTGGAGCTCATTTCAGGTTCTGTGTACTTAATTGTAAAACTTTGTATTGAGATTTTATTTTATTTTTTTAAATAATCCATTTTTTATCAGAAGAAACTCACCGAGATTAAAACGTTTTATTTACAAGAGTGCCCTGGACACAACTGGACACAAAACTCAAAGTTTCATAAAACTTAACTTTACAAACATTCCTTTGTTTTTTCAGGACACAGGTTTTACAGGATGCTCGATGTGACGTCCAGCTGGGGGAGCGTCTTCAACCTGAGCCTGCGTCTCTGGAGGGTCCCCGTCACATGGAAGACATCCTGCCTGTCCCAGATCCTAAGAAGGCCCACCCCAAGGAGCTGAACGACTAGAGGCCGGTCGCCTTGACATCTCGTGATGAAGTTCCTGAAGCGACTGCTGCTGAAACTCCTGAGGACCCTCAACAGTTCATGTACCAGGAGAAGGTGAGGGCGGATGATGCCATTCTCCACCTCATACACAGGACTCACAAGGGAAACAGAGCCGTGAGGGTCACGTAGTGCCTTCAACACTTTCCAGCCCCTGCTTCTGAGAGACAAGCTTGAGGAGATGGAGGTGGACACACATCTGGTCTCCTGGATTACAGACTCTCAGTGAGAGAGCACAACATGTCAGGATCAGGGGCTGCATCTCCAGCACAGTGGTTAGCAGCACTGGAGCACCTCAGGGCACCGTGCTCTCTCCAGTTCTGTTCACCCTGTACACACATCTGACTTCAGTCAGAACTCAAAGACCTGCCACATGCAGAAGTTCTCAGATGACACTTGTAGATGAACATATGCATGATATATTCATAAATTAAACGGGTTCTTTCATTTTTCTGGACTGTATATAACGTGCATTGAATTTAATAAAATGTATCATGAGACGTTATTTATCTTTGACCCATCAAAATGAATGTGGTCATTTATTTACAGAATCAAAGTTTAACATCAAACATTTACATTAATTTGGCACATTGAAAAATAACAACATGGCTAATTTTAGCGAGCTATACAAGTGATTGATTATCCACACGGCGGTGGATGAGAACTTTACACAGACATTTCTAAAATTATCTGGAATGATTTCTACTTGATAGAAGAATTTAAAGAGGAAAGATGAAGTTAAGTGGGAGAAAAAGATGGGTGAGGGGTTTTGTTTACGTCGGCACCAGAAACGACACTCTCCATTCGAACCCAGCTTTCCTCGGTACGCTCGGTAGTAAACTTGACTCGTTACCTCTCTGAAGATGAATCAGCGGATACGGAGTTCCAGTTAACGCTACCTGTCCAGCGTCTCCGTAGGATGGCTGTGAATCGTCCGAAGTAGTAACGGTATTCCGTTCGACACAAATTCACCTCAGCAAGTGGACTCACATGAGTGGAGTCCGTCAGAGTTCCACCCAGAGGTGGAAGATTTATAATCCCATAAGACTCGGGAGAGCTCTGTGGTCATGTCCTGTTTCCCAGCATTGGAACTTCGACCCAACAGGAACTGGGAGACTCTGTGAGACTCTGCAGGAACTGGCGTGAACCAGGAAGTACCGACATTTTAAAGAGCTCTATTTCCGGTTCATTTGGGAGTTTTCTTATTGGTCAATGTCGACCAGACAGGGGTGTGTTTTGTGACGTAAAAGGTTACTAGAAGTCAGAAAACAGCAAGAATGTTATGGAACAGATTGAAAATGTTTTTCAGACAGGCGAGAGAAATGTTTGGACGAGTTTGGGAAAACAGGTGCCAGCTTCTCTGTTTACGTCTGAGAGGATTTAAAAGCAACACAGCTCGTTCCAACACTTGTCGGCTTAGGCTCCGACTTTGGACCAAAACTTACACTTGCTCATTCAAAGACAGGAAATCAGAAAATGCATAATTACTCTGTAACAGACCTTAACATGAATTCTAACTTTGCATGAGGATTAAAAATAATCATTGTTACTGTTTTCACAGTTAATTAAAAAT